TTTCTGCAGGCATGAAAGGGGCTAAGCCTAGATAGAGAGTCAGTCTTTCCGAAGATCATTATCCTGGCTTGGAAAATCCCGCATTTTAAAATGGCTCAGGTTGAATGGGGTTATACAATGTACTTGAAATGTCACCAGCTTCTATCCTACGCGCTTTAAACCTCCGATAAGTGCCGGGTCCTTAGTCCAGGCACAAAAGATAAACAGTAGACTTAACGCTGACAAACGACTTGTCCCCAAAATAGATTTTCTTTTCTGAGAATGCGGGGCAGGTGGCGGATGGATACAAATGTCATCACAACACGCCTTTTTAATAGCCAGGAACCTACGCTACGTTTTGGCACCCCGCAGTAGCATCTTACTCTCCACATCAAGAGCGAGCGTCATGTTTTCCGCCAGCTAAAGACAGGAATTTTGTTGAGGGAAATTGTAAGTTTTTGTAAAGATTTGCATTTATTCGAAAATACAAGTAGCCATTACTTTGAAGCAATTTTTAAAATCCATATGATTTCTTCTGCTTAAAATGATTGAATGATCTAGACATATCTCGACTGTATCGGATACCTAATCCGTGCATAAAGCATACTGAAATACGATGTATTTAACCACTGAAATGAACACAAAAAACTGTCAATGTGTCATAATATCTTTACTCACTGGGAAGTTCTAAATTTTCCAAAAATGTGACAAATTGTGACTGTGATGAGTAAGTTGATCAGAAAACAATTTCCATTAGTCCAGTACAGTAAATCATTTATAATCATTTAATAGTAACGAAAACAATAATAATTTACAATTTTATAATGCCCTGCTAATGCTTAACTAATCACGGGTATATTGCAGAATGCTCTTAAAACGAGGAAATGAAAATTACAAAACCCCGTGGTTGTGGAGATAGCGAAACCTTTATTTAGAAACCTCAGCATTTGCTCATAACCGTCTTCATAAAAACATTTACATCACGTGAAAAATACGCACCCTGTGGCATAAATTAAGTGGTTTCGTCTGCGCAGGTTCAGTGGGTGTTTTGACAGCATCCTCAACGTCGTCAGCATAATAACACATGAATAAATAAATGCACCCCACTATTCACTAACTTGTTTCTCAAGGAGTTAAATTGGGACCAGTCAATTGGCCGGTTATAGATGCCAGAAGCGGAGCGATCACGGCCCGTGTGTTTTCAAGTCTATAGTTTGAAGCCACAACACCCAACGTAGGAAAATAGAAATAAAGTTATTGAGTCTATAGCTTGAAGCCCCAAGACCATACATAAAAAGTCACTGAGTCTGTTGATGCTTTTTTCTTTCAGTNCCTCCTGGACGACATCCTAATCATGGCTTCCTCAGTTGACCAAAGTTTGAGACATACCATATTGTGGTGCATTTACTAGAATCGTTGGGTTTCGTCATCAATGCGAAGAAATCTTGCCTAAATTATCAAACCAGCATATCTCATCTTGGCTTTGAATTCGATTCAACTGCCATGACTCTCAAGGTTCCAGAATCGAAGATTGCAAACTAAGTTACAATCAGAAGTTTTTCGATTACTCTCGAAAAATGTCCCCATACATGATCTCGTCAGAGTCACAGGCGTGATCATTTAAATTTTTGACGCCTTTCCTACAGGAAAGTTACATTTCCCCAACTGGAATATGCTACGATTCATATATAGCCATCCGGGAAGTTTTCAGTGTCGTTGCTTGGGTGAATCACCTGATGTTTACCTTCAGGTGATGCCGTGTGGTCATGAATGGTTGCTGGCGATAACAGTGCGGTTAACACGGCTTGTCATAAGGAACTAATTTTCTGCAGGCATGAATGGGGCTAACCGTAGAGAGTCAGTCTTTCCGAAGGTCATTATCCTGGCGTGGAAAATCCCGCATTTTAAAATGGCTCTACAGCCAAAAAACTGGGGGACGGCTGAATGGGGTTATACAATGTACTTGAAATGTCACCAGCTTCTATCCTATGCTACTCTACGCGCTTTAAACCTCCGATAAGTGCCGGGTCCTTAGTCCAGGCACAAAAGATAAACAGTAGACTTAACGCTGACAAACGACTTGTCCCCAAAATAGATTTTCTTTTCTGAGAATGCGGGGCAGATGGCGGATGGATACAAATTTCATCACCATATGCAGCAAGGTATGAGACGGAGAGACCCCCCCCCGCTTTGCGTTGGTCATGGTCTCCAGGAATCTGGGGAATTCCTTTCAGACATCTTGGGGGGATGTGTTAAGTAACAATAGTCTGGAATATGTATAGGGATTGGACATGTTGGGGGGATACCCCTCGGTCTCATTTCTTGCTGGGTATATTCATCACAACACGCCTTTTTAATAGCCAGGAGCCTATAAGCTACGTTTTGGCACCCCGTAGTAGCACCTTACTCTCCACATCAAGAGCGAGCGTCATGTTTTCCGCCAGCTAAAGACAGGAATTTTGTTGAGCGGGAAACTGTAAGTTTTTGTAAAGATTTGTATTTATTTGAAAATACAAGTAGCCATTACTTTGAAGCGATTTTTAAAATCCATATGATTTCTTCTGCTTAAAATAATTGAATGATCTAGACATATCTCGACTGTATCTGATACCTAATCCGTGCATAAAGCATACTGAAATATGATGTATTTAACCACTGAAATGAACACAAAAAGCTGTATTTCTTTACTCACTGGGAAGTTCTAAATTTTCCAAAAGTGTGACAAATTTTGACTGTGATGAGTAAGTTGATCAGAAAAAAATTTCTCTTAGTCCA